TTTAGTATTTTCATGACTTGCATAGGCTTATTGATATTATACGCGATTAATATTATGACATACTGTAGGCTACATAGGAAAACTGACAAATTAGTTTTTTAAAGCCCATTCACTCCATGGATGATAATTTTAGCGAGAAAGATATAGTTTTAAAAATTGTTCTAAATTTAAAAGAATAGACTTGAGTCTACACCACAACTATAATGATAACAGCACAGAATGAAAGATATCGCTAGATATTGCTCACTTTCAGAATGATTTTTTTTCCAGCTGATGAATGCTAAAAACATTGACAGCCAGTCAGAATCAATCCTGCTTTCTTGAGCATTTAAAGCAACAGGCGACAAAACTGCAGCATGCACTCTAAAAAATGCTGGGTTAAATACAACCCAGTGCTGGGTAAAATAGGGACAAGCCCAGCAATTGGGTTGTTTTGACCCAGCGGTTGGGTTACTACCCAGAAGGTTGGGTTAAACATTTAACCCAACCGCTGGGTCAAAACAGCCCAATTGCTGGGTTTGTCCCTATTTTACCCAGCACTGGGTTGTATTTAACCCAGCATTTTTTAGAGTGTGTGCTTATAATAAACAGAACATTGTGGACACTATCATAGTTATTGTTAATTATTATGTGAACAGGCATTTAATGATGTTTTCATGATCTCAGCAGCCAATAATTCCCAAATTGTTGTTTATGCTCCCTTATAGAAAAATCATATTTTTATGTAGAATGGGTCATATCTTTTTTTATTCTGTGTATTTTTTTTTAATTACAGGTGACAAATTAATTTTCTGTTGACAACAGAAGATACAGGACAAACATTTCCTACTTTTTAAAAGTTAAGCATATTTATTTTGCTCTTTTATATCTGTGCATGATTATTATATAAGTAGTTGCATTTAATTAATTGCATTTTCAACTGATGTTCGTTACCCTTTGATCCATTTTTCAGTCACAAAAAATTTAAAACCACTGGCCTAAAACATCCAGTATTTATTTCGGCAGAGGATGTTTCTCACGTCCTTATTTTCATTAGTGGTCTGAATAGCTGATTCACCCAGATCAGTCATTAACTTTATTTACATTACAGACGCATGCACCACATAAGGAAATTCCCTCCTGTTGTAATCTATGCAACTCTGAAAAGGAAATATCTGGTTATAAACTGCAGATGGTAAATGTGATATTTGATGTTCGGTAGATTTCATTTACTTTTCAAAAGATAAATTATGCATTATGACGTTGATTAAAAAAAGCATAATGACGTTCTAAAAATGGAGAGAAAAAACATAGGACTTGATACATACATAAGTGTCTGCCCTGAATACATTGCTTTTATTGGATTTCTCGATGCACATCACACCTTAATTACATATCATGTGCCATTTTGAAGAGTTCTTTTTTTTTTTTTTTTTGTATTTCAACACATTTTCTGTTCTCTTGGGCTTCGCACCAGTTTCAAGAGAGGCTTCCCAGATAGCAGACAGCAACAGTATTGTTATCTGCTGATTTCAGGGTGTGAGTAGAAGCATTGATGGGTCTTTTTCCGTGCAACAGCCTTCCTATGTCAAAAACGAGCCTTCAAACCATCAATTCATTATACTCTTGTCTGCAGCTATGTGTATGTGTGCATACACGCGTCTGTTTGTGTGTGTGTGCAGACGTGTCTTTGTGTGAGCGCAGCTGTTGTCAGGCCATCTTTAGTTAAAAGAGGAAAGAAGAAAAAAAGCTTGTGGGGCTAGGAAATCCCCTGCAAGTAGACCAACATCCCAGTCACCATCGATGATGTCTGCAATAGCAATAGCATTGTTAAATTCAGAACAAAACATCAAATACATGATCATAATGATATTTTTGACTGTGTGTGAACAGTTGCACATGCAAAAGCAAGACAAAACTGAACTATCCAGGGCGTTGTGAGATGCTTAATGTCAGAGGTAACAAAAGGTTACTATGCAGACAAAACTTAAACAACATGAGTGCATTTCTAAGTGTGCTTTCTGTTGATTTTGCAAAAGCTGCATGCATTTTTGCATTTAAGAAATGTAAGGTTTTTTATCAGTGCACTTTTTGTGCATGTAACCGTGATGACTTTTTATGGTTTAAAAACTTTTGAAAGATGACCAAAATGCAATTATACCCGTTTTATGAACTTTCTTCTTCGCTGAGCTTTATTTATGGAACAATTTCGAGGCAAATACATGTAGACTGATGGCGTATTATAGTCCTCTAACTCAATATCAGGCATTAAACTGCTGATTTATGAAGTTGCTATAAATAATTTGATGCAGTAATCCTTCACTCCTATTTATGGCATTGTAAACAGTCAAAATATGCTATGTTACTATTAAATATATCTGTTGTCTGGTAACACTTAGCTAAACAGTCTCAAGTTCCTGGATGCACACCAGGTCCCACTTTTGAGCTAAAAAAAAATATCAGGGCCTTTCACTATGTGGGAATTCCCCCTTCTGTTTAAAAACACAGCAAACGCTTCCCCCATTGCCACCAGTTTCCTTAAAAAACGCCTCTCGGACACAAGTATAATGTGTAGGTGAGTAATTGTACCATGTTTTTTTATTTTCTAGTATTACTAATAGAAAGAAAATTGCTGTATCTTTTTTAAAGCTTGGATAAAAATGGGAAATTATATCAGTAAATCAGTAAATTTGGATTTTCATAAAAGCTGTGACAAAGGGGAATTTATTTTTGATGATGATGTTGATTGTAGTACATTTCAAAGGAAATTTTATTAAAAGTCACCTATTTATGTATTGTTTACTAAAAGCATGTGTTGTGCATTCAAACTAATTAATTAATTAACTAATTAATAAAGAGTAATTAACTTTCTAAACAATATTTTGTTTTTTAATTGATTCCTTTTTCAAACTATCCTTGAGTGCA